AAAAAAATTCCCTGAACAAGTTTTAGATGAGGGTTTTGCCTTCCCTAATGCACATTAAAGAAGGGAAACAAATATAAAGCACAGAGAGAAGGGAAATACAGGATCACCCACTTTGCGTCCACCGCATTTTTATTGGAAATCGCAATTCGCTGAGTTGAATGAAGGGCCCTACGCTGCCTCAATGAATTCTAATGAAAATAATTTCGAACAAGTTTAGATGAGGGTTTTGCCTTTCCCCACGGCACATTAAAGAAGGGTAAGGTAAATATAAAGCACTGAGAGAAGGAAATATACAGTGATCACCCACTTTATGTCCAACGCATTTTATTGAAATTCAATTCGCTGAGTTGAATGCAGTAAGCCCTTGCTGGCTCAATGAATTTCTAATGAAAATAATTTCGAACAAGTTTTAGATGAGGGTTTTGCCTTTCCCCTAATGGCACATTAAAGAAGGGAAAGGTAAATATAAAGCACCGAGAGAAGGGAAATATACAGTGATCACCAATTTTGCGTCCACCGCATTTTTATTTGAAAACGCAACTCGATGTGTTGGAATGCAAAAGCTTCAACTGCCGCCTCAATGAATTCAATGAAAAAATAATTTTCGAACAACGTTTTAGATGACGGTTTTGCCTTCCAAAATGGCAAAATAAAGAAGGAAAAGGTAAACATAAAGCACCGAGAGAAGGGAAAATACAGATCCCACTTTGCGTCTACTGCATTTTAGTGGAAATCGCACCCGGCTGAGTTGAAAGCAAAGCCTTCCCGCCGCTCAATGAATTTAATGAAAAATACTGAACAAATTTTAGATGAGGGTTTTGCCTTCCTTAATAACACATTAAAGAAGGAAATGTAAAATAAAGCACCGAGAGAAGGGGAAATATACAGTGATCACCCACTTTGCGTCCACTGCATTTTAGTTAAAATCGCAATACGCTAAGATGAATGCAGTGCTTCCTTACGCTGTCTCAATGAATTCTAATGAAAATAATTTCGAACAAGATTTAGATGAGGGTTTTGCCATCCCAAATAACACATTAAAGAAGGAAAGGTAAATATAAAGCACGGAGAGAAGGGAAATATACAGTGATCACTAATTTTATGTCCACCGCATTTTTTAGTGGAAATCCTAATTGCTGAGTTGAATGGAGTGCCTTCCCATGCTGCCCAATGAATTTAATGAAAAAATAATTTCGAACAAGATTTAGATGGTTTTGCCTTTCCCAAATGGCACATTAAAAGAAGGGAAACAAATATAAAGCACCGAGAGAAGGAAAAATATAGGAAGATCACCACTTTGGTGTCCAATTTATTTTATTGGAAATTCCAACCGTTGAGTTGAATGCAGTTCTTTTACGCTACCTCAATGAATTTAATGAAAATAATTTCGAAATGTTTTAGATGAGGGTTTTACTTTCCTAATGGACCATTAAAGAAGGGAAGGTAAATATAGCTACCAAGAGAAAGAAATACAGATCTCCACTTTGCGTCCACCGCATTTTTTATTGGAAACGTAATTGCTGAGTGGAATGCAGGCCTTTGCTGCCTCAATGAATTTAGTGAAAAATAATTCGAACAAATTTTAGATGAGGTTTTGCCTTTTTTAATGGCACATTAAAGAAGGGAAAGGTAAATATAAAGCAGCGAGAGAAGGGAAATATACAGTGATCACCCAATTTTTGCGTCCACTGCATTTTTATTGGAAATCGCAATTCGCTGAGTTGAATGCAGTGCTTCCTACGCTGCCTCAATTAATTAATGAAAATAATTTCGAACAAATTTTAGATGAGGGTTTTGCCTTCCTAATGGAACATTAAAAGGGAAACGTAAATATAAAGCACCGAGAGAAGGGAAGATCCAGTGATCACCCACTTTGCGTCCAATTGCATTTTTTATTTGGGAAATCGTAACTGCTGAGTGAATGAAGTGCTTCTCATGCTGCCTCAATGAATTCTAATGAAAAATAATTTCGAACAAGTTTTAGATGAGGGTTTTGCCTTTCCCTAATGGCACATTAAAGAAGGAAAGGTAAATATAAAGCACAGAGAGAAGGGAAATATACAGTGATCACCCACTTTGCGTCCACCGCATTTTTAATGGAAATCGCAATTCGCTGAGTTGAATGCAGTGCTTCCTACGCTGCCTCAATGAATTCTAATGAAAAATAATTTCGAACAAGTTTTAGATGAGGGTTTTGCCTTTCCCTAATGGCACATTAAAGAAGGGAAAGGTAAATATAAAGCACCGAGAGAAGGGAAATATACAGTGATCACCCACTTTGCGTCCACCGCATTTTTATTGGAAATCGCAATTCGCTGAGTTGAATGCAGTGCTTCCTACGCTGCCTCAATGAATTCTAATGAAAAATAATTTCAAACATGTTTTAGATGAGTGTTTTGCCTTTCCCTAATGGCACATTAAAGATGGGAAATGTAAACATAAAGCACCGAGAGAAGGGAAATATACAGTGATCACCCACTTTGCGTCCACCGCATTTTTAGTGGAAATTGCAATTCGCTGAGTTGAATGCAGTGCTTCCTTTCTCTGCCTCAATGAAGTCTAATGACAAATTATTTCGAACAAGTTTTAGATGAAGGTTTTGCCTTCCCTAATGGCACATTAAAGAAGGGAAAGGTAAATATAAAGCACCGAGAGAAGGGAAATATACAGTGATCACCCACTTTGCGTCCACCGTATTTTTGGTGGAAATCGCAATTCGCTGAGTTGAATGCAGTGCTTCCTACGCTGCCTCAATGAATTCTAATGAAAAATAATTTCGAACAAGTTTTAGATGAGGGTTTTGCCTTTCCCTAATGGCACATTAAAGAAGGGAAAGGTAAATATAAAGCACCGAGAGAAGGGAAATATACAGTGATCACCCACTTTGCGTCCACCGCATTTTTAGTGGAAATCGCGCACCGCTGAGTTGAATGCAGTGCTTCCTACGCTGCCTCAATGAATTCTAATGAAAAATAATTTCGAACAAGTTTTAGATGAGGGTTTTGCCTTTCCCTAATGGCACATTAAAGAAGGGAAAGGTAAATATAAAGCACCGAGAGAAGGGAAATATACAGTGATCACCCACTTTGCGTCCACCGCATTTTTAGTGGAAATCGCAATGCGCTGAGTTGAATGCAGTGCTTCCTACGCTGCCTCAATGAATTCTAATGAAAAATAATTTCGAACAAGTTTTAGATGAGGGTTTTGCCTTCCCTAATGGCACATTAAAGAAGGGAAAGGTAAATATAAAGCACCGAGAGAAGGGAAATATACAGTGATCACCCACTTTTATGTCCACCGCATTTTTAGTGGAAATCGCAATCGCTGAGTTGAATGCAGTGCTTCCTACGCTGCCTCAATGAATTCTAATGAAAAAATAATTTCGAACAAGTTTTAGATGAGGGTTTTGCCTTCCCTAATGGCACATTAAAGAAGGAAAGGTAAATATAAAGCACCGAGAGAAGGGAAATATACAGTGATCACCCACTTTGCGTCCACTGCATTTTTAGTGGAAATCGCAATTGCTGAGTTGAATGCAGTGCTTCCTACGCTGCCTCAATGAATTCTAATGAAAAATAATTTCGAACAAGTTTTAGATGAGGGTTTTGCCTTCCCTAATGGCACATTAAAGAAGGGAAAGGTAAATATAAAGCACCGAGAGAAGGGAAATATACAGTGATCACCCACTTTGCGTCCACCGCATTTTTATTGGAAATCGCAATTCGCTGAGTTGAATGCAGTGCTTCCTACGCTGCCTCAATGAATTTAATGAAAAAATAATTTCGAACAAGTTTTAGATGAGGGTTTTTGCCTTCCCTAATGGCACATTAAAGAAGGGAAAGGTAAATATAAAGCACAGAGAGAAGGGAAATATACAGTGATCACCCACTTTGCGTCCACCGCATTTTTATTGGAAATCGCAATTGCTGAGTTGAATGCAGTGCTTCCTACGCTGCCTCAATGAATTCTAATGAAAATAATTTCGAACAAGTTTTAGATGAGGGTTTTGCCTTTTCCCTAATGGCACATTAAAGAAGGGAAAGGTAAAATATAAAGCACCGAGAGAAGGAAATACAGTGATCACCCACTTTGCGTCCACCGCATTTTTAGTGGAAATCGCAATTCGCTGAGTTGAATGCAGTGCTTCCTACGCTGCCTCAATGAATTCTAATGAAAATAATTTCGAACAAGTTTTAGATGAGGGTTTTGCCTTCCCTAATGGCACATTAAAGAAGGGAAGGTAAATATAAAGCACCGAGAGAAGGGAAATATACAGTGATCACCCACTTTGCGTCCACCGCATTTTTAGTGGAAATCGCTGAGTTGAATGCAGTGCTTCCTACGCTGCCTCAATGAAGTAAATGAAAAATAATGAACAAGTTTTAGATGAGGGTTTTGCCTTCCCCTAATGGCACATTAAAGAAGGGAAAGGTAAATATAAAATTTAATTTCAAAAGCTTTTAGTTGCTTTTATTTGTTTGTAGGAATATGGATAATATTTTCTGAAAGCAAAAAAAGGTTTTCGATGAAAAATAAATTTTACAACAATTATTTGTTATTTCCTAAATTATTTTATTTTTTTTACATCAAAGTTGTTAAATATTCTAAAATAATGAAAATCTTGTACACCTTCGTCAGTGGTGTTATTAGGAGATAAACATCATTTACAGATTATAAAATAAAGCTGGTTACAGTCAGAAAGTTGCCAATAGCTAAAAATCTAATATAATTTTTTGTGCCCTAAAATAGCTAAAATTCAAATATACTGAAGACCGGAAACATCATAAAAACAATAGTCCGTCACGTGGTTTGCGTTGGTAGTAACATAAACATTTTGACGATAAAATTTTGCTTTCGCCAAGTTTAAGGTCGTTTTTCTCATGCTATGCCGACTTAAAAATAACAAGATAAATAAGTTGTTCACATAAAGCTAAACTGTCAATTGTGACCTTCCGTACTATAACTTTTCCTCCGGTAAGATGAAATTACGCACATATCACATGTCAATCAACACCTCTGGTAAGCCCGGCTTTCTATCATTTGAAAGTACTTTTTTTCTTTTTTTTTTTCAGCGCAGAAATTAAGTAATGTTTGTTTCAAAATACATTAAATAAACTTTATAATTTCTAATTTTCTTAAATTAATTTAAAAAAAAACATCATAATTGATTTTTAAACGATTTTTAAACGGAAAATTTCACTTTTGTAAAAAAAAAAAAGTCAAAAAATGGCTGACGATAGATTTTCTGTCAATTTTGCTATAAAATTTAAGATGTGTTCAATTTTGTCGTTAGAAAAAAAAGAATCATTTCGTAAGCAGACGATAAAAGGCCGCCATTTTGAAATTTCTTACAACGTGAAAGGGACACTGAATCAATTTACTTAACATCTGAATGTTAAAAATGATTGTGAAGGCAGAAAATTGGAGCCTTTCTCTCTGTTGCTTTTACCCTTTCTTTCCTTCCGTTTCTTTAATTGCTCTTCTCTCTCACTCTCACTTCTGCATCGATAACCACTCTCTCCTTAGTTTCTTTCTATTTCTCTCACTTTTCACTCACTCTAACACACTCTATTTCCTTCCTCTCTCTCTCTATATTTTACTTTTTTCTCTATCAATCTCACTATTCCCCCCGTTCTCCACTCTCTTATTTCATTCTCTTAATCCCACCCCCGCCTTCATTTGTTTGTGATTTTAGAAGAAAATTAAAGTAAATCGATTTGCTTTTTTTTCTAAAATCTAAATATTTGGAGTCATTTTATTTTCGGTTTCAGAAATCGACTTTTTATGGTTTTGAACTTTTTTATTTTCTAAAATGTTTTTTTGTCTTTGCATTTTCAGATTTCATTTTACCTGAAAGAAATCTAAAAATGGCTTCGTCATTGAGGAATGAGATTAAATGAAGCAAAAATATTCGGCCTGCAACTGGAGAAAGAAATCGAAGATTTTGAAAGTCGGATCTGTGAAATGATTGAAGTAACGAAGAAATCGATTGAACAATTGTCAATCGATTGCGAATTGAATTGCTCAAAGGTCAGACAGGATTTACACTATTCGGACTATTGCCCTCATCTTTGTCGCCAAGGACACATGGCACAGTGGATAAAGGCGTTGGTTAGATCCAGTGACAGATACAAAGTGAGTTCAATACCCGGTTAAGGCAGTGGATAACTTTCTGAGGGAAAATCTGACATAACTGATATCCATCAAACATGGCACGTGGAACTAGAACAGTCTACCCCAGTGATCGAAATAAAGAGTTCAGTTCGAAATTCCAACGGCCGAAACGTTGTGATAAATATGGCGACAAAGATGGGGACAATATAGTCCGAAAAATATAAATACTGTAAATAATACCTCATCTCAGAAATATAGACAGAATATGAGTCTGGCAGGAATTTGGTGAATTTCTGGAAAAGACAAGGATGAAGGCCGCAGAGTTGTGGTTCCAAATGATACTTGTTCTTATACTGAAAACAAAAAAAGATCGATTATTGATTACAATGAATGCAATGGATTAAGAAAGAAAAGGGAGTGAATCCATTACAGCGTTGATAACAAAAAATTCAAGAGTTGCTTCCTTTAAGAAACGAAAAATAGGGATTTGTACCATCTAAAGGACAGAACCGGTAAAAATTCTTCTGGATTTATGTAGTTTTTGTCTTTGTTTCAAATTTAAAAAATAAAACAATTCACCATTAATAGCAAGGATTTCTGTTTGTTTGTTTTTTGGCTGACTTTACATTAACGTCAAAATAAATCAGAATAAAATGTGACTCATTTCATTTTCTCACTGTAAAATATAACAAGACAAATTAAGAAACGAAGAAATTAAAATCTAAATATAAATATAAATTTATATAAATAAATTTATATAAATATAAATATAAATTTATATAAATATAAAAGACATTAAAATTCTCAACTTGCATCATAAATAATAATGCATTTTTCATGTAAAACTTTCCTCATTTACCTGTTTTTTTTCCTTTCTGCTTTCAAAAGTTCATTGAGACCAATTGAATGGCAGGAATTCGATAATATATGTGGAATTCTTGTCTGAGTGCCAACATTCCAAATATGATATTTGAGTCATTGTTTATTTTTATTCTGTAAAGTGGGAAAAAGTATAGCAAAAAGATTCTTTTTAATAAAAAAAAAACTCTATATTGAATATGTTATTACAACACCATTCGTTTGAATTTAAAAATTCTATTCCATATACTAAGGGGATAAACTGAAGAATTAAGATAACAAAAAAGAAAGACAAATGAAAAGAAAATCAAGTCATTCATACAAGAAAAAGAATAAAGGGTTCGATATACCCAGTTAATTCCTTGATTGGACCAATTTTTTTTTCTATTTCCCTCTCATTTGTTTTTGTCTCTTTCTTTAGGATCACTTTTGATATGAAGAAAACAAAACTGTAAGTATAGAGTACTCAGTATGGATCAAACTCACTTCAGAGTAGTAATGGTCGGTTAGATTAGAACACTAGCCATTAAATTGAAAATCTACATGAATCGTCTTCAAGTTTTCTTGCATTCAGATTCAACTATACTTTTCTTAATTGTAGCATACCTCAGACTATTATTTCATATTAACAGCCCATTTTCATAGATTTTGCTTTCATCTGTAGTAATTTACAATGTCATTTTAATTAATAACATCTCTTCTTCTTATCTACAAGTTCATTTGAACTCTACAAAAAGACAGAACTGCTATAATTGTTTATAATGATATAAACATATATAATATGATATAAACACTGCTATATTTTTTACAATCCATACAGTTGTGTTTGGTATGAGGAAGGTTTAGGCTTAGGTGCAGGAAACGATTTTGTAGATATTATATGGGGAAAATGTCTGAAACAATGTTGAAATTAATATATTGCAGCTACCTTCTTCACAAACAGAGAAATAATTATGTAGCCAGTCATAATTGAGTAATATAAATCTGAATCCATTGTTGGTGTTTTCTTCAATGGCATCATGACAATCAGGAGGCAGGAAGGACAGTTTGAGAATAAACAGCTAGACTTCTGGTGACTGCCTTTGATTCTGCTCGATCACTAAATATTGCCAGCAATGTTCTAGTGCAGGGGTCGCTAAAGTGGTCGATATCAATCTCTGGGGGTTGATGGGACTATTTAATGGATTGATAAATGCCTGGTGTTCAGAAGGGGTCAGTAAATACTGGGGCGGGGTCAATTGAAATTTTGAGGTTGAATGATGAAATTCATATAAGATTTAAAATACATTAAAATACAACTTGTATATATATATATATATATATATATATATATATATATATATATATATATATATATATTGCTGACCATCCAACATACTTAGTGCGCATAAAAACCTACAGTCACACGGAGGCAGCAATGGTAATTCTTTTACTTATGGCATCATTAAACAGTGCAGAGACAGAACCCAACTGTAGGTAGAAGGCTAGAAGGTAAACATACAAACACACAGAAACATTCCAACCACTACACACACACACACACACACAAAGGGAGATAGAGATATATAGATAGATAGATAGAGAGAGAGAGAGACATATGAGTCACGTACAATTCTCAGCTTGGTCAACTTTTTCCTAATTAATGTGACTAAATGTTGTTCCTCTCCTGTTTCCCAGCATTCGCTTTTGTCATGACCCCCGTCGAGATTCTCATCCCCCCACCCACCAGTTTGTTTGTGTCCCCCTTAATCTCGGATGGTTCAGCCTCCCCTTTTTTTTTTTTCCTAGACCATTTTTTTTTTCCCCCTCCCATTCCATCAGTGAGTATGCTGCCTGATTCTGTCTATAGGCAGAATACAATGACCATTCTTATTATTTTTGAAGGGGTCAATGGGTCCTACTAAAATGTTTTTGTTCTACTTTGAATATTTGTTGTATTTTTTGTTTGTTTTTTGGTTTCATCCCCCACCCCACGCCATCATTTCATGTTTCATGGAATTTTTATATATTTTTGTAAAAGAAAATAAAAATGAAAAAAAATCTATAGAAATTTTGAAGATTTCCACATTTTTATATAATGGTTTTTGTAGGTTCCCTGGGAATATGAGGAATTGTGGTAATTGTAGGAGTGAATGGCATTGGATAAATTCTTGTGGTGACTGTGTATTAAATGAATGAGTCGTGAATTCTATTAACTAGGACTAGGATAGCTACTGATGACCAACACAGTTATGTATCAAATCGTCGACTCTCCCGTCATTAGTCCACACCTACCGGGGACCCTTTTATGATGTATGAGGGCCAGACAAACTGCACATATGATTTGATTAGATTGGTGAAGGTTTTGTGAAAAAACCAACCAAACATTTTGAAGAGCCGAATACAGAGACCTGCAGAAACCAGTTTGTCCTATTTACGCATAACTGGCGGCGTGGGGGTGGGGAGAATAGGATTCATACTTTTCAAGTGAATGTAATTCTCCGGTTACTCAATCCGAGCCGCTATCCATTTTAGTCCACTGTGCCTCCATATTTTTATTAAGTATCAAATATATAATAAATATATATTCCTTTTTGTGTGCTTATTGAGATATAAAAATAAAAACTGTCATCATACGGGCATTAGATTCTAAGAACTGGATAAAAATATAAAAAGTTTATGGGATATAAATATAAAAAATTGTCCGAATAATTTGACTATTGATATATATATATATATATATATATATATATATATATATATTATATATATATATATATATATAGAGAGAGAGAGAAATATATATATATATATATATATATATATATATATATATATATATATATATGTTTCATTTTGAAAGTTTTCTTATTTTCTTCTTCTTCTTCTTCTTCTTCTTCTTCTTCTTCTTCTTCTTCTTCTTCTTCTTCTTCTTCTGTGCTCCACTCAAACCATTACATTTCATTTCTGTTGAAAGGTTTATTCACCTGGAAATATATATCTTAAATATTTCTAAATTTACACAATTTAAAAGCTTATCCATTCATATATTCACAAACTATCAATACCTGGTAATTAGTACTGCATCAGAAATTCATAATTTTAAATAATTACAACATACTTACCATACAAATGTTGTGATTGAATCTCAAGTTCAATCACTAATAATTTATGCATAGCACTATACCTGCCTTCATATATAAATCGATAAATATATCTAATAATCATGTCATTGCTATTAAAGTACTAAACTATTTACATTATTCGGACTATTGACCTCATCTTTGTTGACATATTTATCACAACGTTTCGGCCGTTGTATGCTCCAGCCTTCTTCAGGTGGTTGGAATGTCGAACTGAACTCTTTATTTCGCTCGCTGGGGTAGACTGTTCTAGTTCCACGTGCCATGTCAGTTATCAGTTATCTCTTGTTCATTCATCTCTGCAAGTTCTCCACTACCTTAACCAACTCTTTGGTTCCTGTCATTGGATCTAACCAACGCCTTTATCCACTGTGCCATGTGTTCTTAAGGACATCTGTGTATGAATTTCTAGGGGCGGCGTGAAAAGAAAGAAAGAAAAAAAAACGAGAAAAGAAAGAGAAAAAATGAAAAAGAGAGGAGAGAAAGAGCGAAAATGTAAATAAAAAGAAAGAAAAAAAAAGAAAAAATAGAGAAGGTAAAAGATGTGAAGGGAATAAAAAAAATATTTTCTACGATTCTTTGACTGACATCAGAATTTTAATTGTCGAAAAAACCTGCAATAAACTCCAAAAATTAGCAATCAAAACAATTTTATTCTCACCAAATTTACATTTTCATTTTAAAATTAAAAAATATAAAAGAACAAATCATCGTTAGAAATAAATTCAATTTATTGACAGATTTTAAAAAAATATCAAAATTGCTTCGTAAAGAAAAATTTTAAAAGTTTTTTTTTCTTGGTACAGATTAATTTTGAAAATTTTAATTAAATATTTTTTCCTTCATCTTTAAGATAAACAATTTTTTCTAGAAACAATAATCTTTAAAATATCTTCAGATTTTTTTTTGTACAAAACTTTTTACGGCAAAATGGAAAAAAAAGACACAAATATTTACATATTGCAAAAAGATGCGTCTGTGGAAGTAGATCGCCCGGTTCATACTCCTTTCCCTTCCTTTGAACAGGAGTAGAATTTTGAACCATGTTTTCTGTTTAAGATTGAATTTCCGGTTCCTTTTCCTAAAGATTTATTCTTTTTCACTCCTTGCATCTTAGTGGCATTATCGCCTTGAAATGATTTTAATAAATCAAAAAAAGATGAGGAAAACTGATATAATGGAATATGCATACACCTGAGTTCCCCCTCACTGGAATATGATTGGCTGGTGTCAGCCATAAATACAGACTGATTAGAAGAAATTGTAAGTCTACACGATGCCCATTAAATTCAGTTTCAAATAGAGAAAATCATTTTGATTACTAGAAATGTTAAATTGAATCTATTAGCTTGAAATTAAAACTAAAATAAAAGTTTCAATAAAAAAGTTGCATTTTTAAAAAAAATTGTTTTTTAAACCTGAACTATGGCTTTTATTTGGAGATACTTTAATGTCATTACAGTTTGAATGTGAGAAGAATTTGATTGAAATCATCACTGACAATGGCTTTCGAAACTAAGGTGTCAACTTAAAAGGTGACATCATCAGTTGAAATGAAATTATAAAACTGTGACGATAAGTGATTATCTGTTTGAAGTGACAGAGATTAGGATTTATTTGTTAATTTTGTTTTCTTTCTTGGTCTTTTCTTCTATTTTTACTACTGACATATTACCAGGTAACTTGTGTCTTAATATATAGCACACACACACATTATATATGGCCTGAAGATTGTGTCTCAGTGTTGACTTCAGTATTATATATATATATATATATATATATATATATATATATATATATATATATATATATATATATATAAATAAAGTAAAAACGAATTGGTAAAGAAAGATAAAAAGAAAACATAAAATGTTTACAAACCACACACGCATACAGAAATAAATGAATCCATTATATATATATATATAATTATTTATTTAAAATATGATTCCAAATCGCGACATAAGAAGTATCATGTTTCAAATTAAATTGAGTTCAAGTAAGCTCTGTTCCATCTTCAAGCGAAATTTTCTACTTTTGTATCGAGCACTATTTTTAAAAAATAATAACTAAAATACTAAGGGACTTTGGATTATTTACCTAACCAGTTCCTTCCTATTTTTATATATATATATATATATATATATATATATATATATATATATATATATATATATATATATATATATATATATATATAAATTATTAGGAGGAGTTGATAATTATATTTAAGTAATTCATCGAGTCTGAAAGCTCAACAGAATGCAGAAAGAACTGGACCAACTGTTCAAATGGGCCTCGGTGACGAAGTGATTGCAAAATCAAACTCAATATAGCGCCGCTCGCTCACATATTCCGTGGTGGAACTCTGTTGAGTTTCTCTCTAACCATAGGGCTGTTCCACCTGAAAACCCGTTGGAACAGTTGGTATAATGTCTGCTTGGCAACCTAACTGTCAGGGTTTCAATTCTCAGTAGTGGATGCACACTGCTGATGAGTCCCAAATATAGGACGAAACGGCCGTTCAGTTCTTTCTGCATTCTGTTGAGGTTTCAGACTCGATGATTTACTCTTATATATATATATATATATATGTGTGTGTGTGTGTGTATTTAGGCAGCAATCCTTCATTCATGCACATTACATTCAATAAATCAGACAAGGTGCTTTGATTTAGGTTTTTTTTTTACAATTTCTCATGCGATCTAATATTTTTTTCTTTTCAGATGATAAATTATACAAAAACTTTTTTATATATATAACAGCAATATAGATATATAGATAGAAAGATAGATACTAAGATAGATAGATGAACTAATTTTTCTCAACATGTTTTCAAACCACACCCACATACAGAAATATATGAATGCTTTTATATATATATATATATATATATATATATATATATATATATATATATATATAAAAGGGACAGAATAAATAAATTTACTATAAATTTATTTGTACAACAAAGGGTTCTTTTATTGGAAATTTTAAATTTAATTCATCAGTTTGAAATTAAAACTAAAATAAAAGCTTCAAGAATGATTTTTGATTTTTTAAACTTCATTTAAAACCAGAGACATCCCGTTTTCCGTGGTGATGTCTAAATTTGTATAAAATTTATAGAATTTAATTCGATAATCATTTCGTTATTTTCAGCCTCAATCATAATTTCTTCTTTTTTTTTTTTTTTTGGAATCAATTCGCCGAAGAATTGACCTAAAGTTTTATTTCTCGAAAGTTGTTGTTGTTGTTGTTGTTGTTGTTGTTGTTTATTTCGTTTCATTTGTCCTTCGATAAAAAATATTTACAAAGATATTGTGAACAGTGAAAGAAGTTGTTTTTCTTGTTTTTGCCGCGGAAAAATTGACCTAAATTTTTCATTTCTCGTAATTTGACCGCCAAAAATGAGTTTCATTTTGTCTTTTATGCCCTCATCAAATTATAGTCGAAATTCTTTTTAACTTTTTAATTTGAAAAAAAATTAATGTTATTTCAGATTTTAATTTCTATTAAATACACACACAGACACATACACACACACACATATATATGTATATATATTTTAATGAATTTGCTGAATTAAAATATTGCCCATAACTTTTTAAAAATATTTTACAAAATGATTTTAGACAAGTTTATTTTTAAACAAATAATCTCATATTCAATATGTACAAGTAAATGAAAATTAAAAAAGAAGTGAATTGTTGGTATTTTAGTAAACACGTACCTAAATACTTTGATATTGTAATAGGCACCACTACGCTAGTAAATTTCATAATGTCTTTGATTTTGCTTCCTGCAAGGCCACCTTTATTCTAATCTTACCTTTAAGATGGCTTTCATATTTTTTTCTCTGTGAATTTCTTTTGAATATTTTTTCTTTGCTAATTCGTTCTTTCCTTACATTTGCATTGTGTAGTTTTACTCATCTTTTTATCGCTAATCTTTGATCATAAAAAAGAAATGCCCATAATTCTCTTCGGGGATTTATTGGTTGAAGAGAGTTCCAAAAACGGTTTGCCCCCTTGAAGGCATTTACAGAGAAATATGTTGTTGATGGTTCTTAGACAACAGGACACAGAACTTCAGAAAGAATATTTTGAATAATGAAGCCGTGAATTTATATGAACAAGAGATTTTGTATCATTCTCATCTGATGGAAGACTGCCAATTCATTCCAAAGTACTGGATAAGCTACAGTGAGCAATTGGCTTGTTTGAATGACAATTCTTAAATCGATCTTTAAGCTACCTTTTAAAATCCCAAAGAGGAAATGAAATAATGAATTGTTGGAATCTCTCTTTCTTTAATAAGTTCTATGGCTATACCTAAAGCAACACCGTAAAATCGACTTGGAATTTCCATCTGGAATCTTCAGCACAAAAGTGCCAATACTTTCTTCTATTTTACCAATTCTTCTTCCCACCTTCTCTCTTTCTCTGTCTCTCTCCCTCCCTCTCACCCACCGTCTCTCCGTCTCTCCCTCCCTCTCTCAGTTTTTTCATTCACTGTCTCTAGTTACTTTGCAAATTCGGTCTTAAAATGATCTGAAAGAAATAAAAAGTAAAATTCATTTGGCCAACGAATAATGAATGACAATTTCAGAAAATTATCGAATCTCCACAAAAAAATAAAATAATAATAATAATGGCGGGGGGCAAGAAAGAAAACCCTAAACTAAAAAGAAATTGGTTTTGATTAGACACAACAGACGGCCTCATGGCCGGTGCAACAGTCTTGCTTGCGGCAGACTTTAGATAAACCTTTCCCTTGATCCTTTTGATACATCGTTTTATTGGCTTTGTTTTTGACGGGTACTAATGTTAAATATTGCCATGATTTTGTTTAAAGACAGGAACACCAATATTTCACTGTCGACATTAATTCGACGATATTTCTATTTTGCCTATCGTTTCATGTCATGTATGTAAAATGATATATAGAGATTGAAATTCGTGTCCTGCCGTAGAGCAACGGTCAGTAAGTCCTTGTTAATCATCATCATAATCATGTTATTTTACTGATAATAGGAGTCCGAGTACGTTTCCAATATATATATATATATATATATATATATATATATATATATATATATATATGAACAAGCATTCTTTTATTTCCACAGTTTTTATTCGTTTCATCACAGCACACATACCTGGTGTTCATCGGGTTGCAACGACCCTTTCGCATATCATTTCAAGTTTCCAGCCCATCCCATGATATTTTATCCTTAAAAACATTTACATGATTCAATATAAAACACAAAAGAAGTAAATTTCAATCTACCATGAAAAGATTTTCTTTCTGTTGATATGTACGCCATTTTCTGAGACATTTTCAATTTGAAGTATTTTCAAGTTTTTGCCTCGAACTTTTAACCAGTCTCTTCACGAAATGTTTTCTGTTTTCATAAAATACATGTTTTTGTTTGATTTGTAGAATTTAAACAAGAAAAAATAAATTTCACGTACCAGGCTATCTATCTATCTATCTATTTCCGTCTTCACATTATCTATCTACCTATCTATATATCTTGTACGCAAAATCATTAGCATTTACATTTTTTCTACCCACATTCGATTGTCAATGCTCAACTATAAAAATAGCCATTGTCTATCTGTTTATATAAATTGATTTTTTGTGTGTCATTTCCATTTTATAAATTAAAAAAAAAAACACATGGAAATGGTTTCTTAACAAATAACGACAACTTTTCATTTCCAGTCGAATTTAAAATTCACAAAAATTGTCTAATTATCAGATTTTAATAAATTGTTTTCGTAATTATATCATTAAAGATGAAGATTCTTTTCAGATAAATTTCCACTGACAATTATCAAGGTAACATCTTTTGACTACCACCCTAAAGATCTTTTTTTTAAGTTATAATAGGTAACAACATTTTTTAAATATTTTTCCATGGTTATAATTTATTACATTGGAATCGTAATCAGGATCCAATTCATCAGACCTACAAATTCAAAAAGAAAACAGAAAATATAACTCCGGGTATAATATACATAAGCCATTATCAATATTGTCACAACATAAAGCAATATGTGTATGAATATACATACATAAATATATATATATATATATATATATATATATATATATATATATATATATATATATATATCATGAACATTGTCTATCTGTTTATCTATCTTCATTGTCTATCTATTGATTTCTATATTTCTTTTACCCTTTCTTTCTTTACCTTTCCCCCCCTCTCACCTCTGCATCGATAACCACTCCCTCCTTTGTCTCTTTCGATTTCTCTCACTTCTTGCCCATTCCTCCCCTTCCATACTTTTCCCTCCCTTGTTATCTCAAGTAACGTCCTCCAGTCCAGTGGTGGGATTATTCTCGTCCAATGAAATGCTTTAAACTCGAATGACGTCACAGCGCTTATTCCCCCCTCCCTCCCCTTCATTTAATCTCTCCAAGTTTATGGCTTTACATATGAGTGAAGAACAAATCCAATGGCAAACAACAACAACAACAACAACAACAACAACAACAATAATCGTGAAGCGTTGTTAGTATTATTGTTCATTTGAATGAAATAAACTGGATTAGTATATATATATATATATATATATATATATAAGAATATAAAACTTATTTGTTAGTGTTTGCCTATTTGTACATGTCTTTGTGTGTGTGTGTGTGTGTGTGTGTGACGCCAGTGATTTTAGTATTAGATCGAGAAAAGTCTTTTATAACTAATTGTATACAAGTGAAATTGTTTTTATTTGTAATATTGTTAAAGCAATTAATGAAAAAGAGGTAAATAAATTTTACCAAACTACCAACAATGAATTAGAAAAGAACCAAAATAAATAAGTAAAAAAAACCATAGCAACGAAACTAAAATTAAATAATAGAATAAAACAATGAAAGTAAAAGCATTCATTAAATTAAAAGATCAGAAAGACATTTTTTGTTTAAATATACCAACATGAAGACAATGAAATTCTACAAAAACTAATATGGGAAAAAGAAGCCAAAAACTAGTAGAAAACTTGTGTAGGAAACTAAGAAAAATATACAATGTAGACGAATGGAAAAATACAAAAGAAGCCAAAAAGACTCCCCCCAAAAAAAGTCCTCATCGTCTCCAGAGTTTGGTGTCTCACTCAGACCAGAATCTATGATACGGGGGCACCCCCCTCTACTACATCTCGACAATGTAAAGTGAGTAGAAATAAATGTAAATGTTGCTGTTTTTACGTACAAGATAGATAGATAGATAGATAGATAGATAGATAGATAGATAGATAGATAGATAGACATGAGCAGACGCTGGAATAGATAGATAGATAGATAGATAAATAGATAGATAGATAGATAGATAGATAGATAGATAGATAGATAGATAGATAGATAGACATGAGCAGACGCTGGAATAGATAGATAGATAGATAGATAGATAGATAGATAGATAGATAGATAGATAGATAGATAGATAGATAGATAGATATGAATAGAGGCTGGAATAGATAGATACATACATACATACATACATACATGTAAAACGTAAATATGAATTAATTTTTCACAAATGTTTTGCAAAGTCGCACACACATATACAAATCCACATACATACACACACACACAGACAGAGACTAATACACGCATCCTACCCACCTACCCACAAAATAGTTTCATTATTAAAATCTTGTTTCAAGTTAATTAGTAGTAGTATTAGTATTAATAGTAGTAGTAGTAGTAGTAGCCTAAAATTTTCATTATAAGTAAAATTCGTTGAGTTTTCTTTTAAAACAATAATTTCTATAGACTTTTAGATCAAATGATACTAAGTCTATTTAATATTCAAATATTCTGCTATTATTATTATTATTATTGTTGTTGTTGTTTTTGTTGTTGTTGTTGCTGTTGTTGTTGTTTATTTCTTTTTATTCGTCTTTCAATAAAATGATTTTTACGAAAGTTTTGTCCTCAAATCAGTTGTGAAAAAAATGTTTTTGCTTTTTTAGCCGCGGAACAATTGACTTAAATTTTTATTTTCAAAAGAAAATTCATTTTATCTCGGAAGTTAATTCCTATTAAATATATTCTAGAGTTTAACTTCCATGAATTCGAACTTAAATTACCTTCATTAATTAATATTTAAGCATTTGTTGACTTTTTATGACATTACATAACATGTGCGTGTATGGATTCAACTTTCAAATGCATTTCAATTTTATATTTATTGAAAAACATTTTAGTTTTTATTGCTTTTAAACAAATCTAGAGAAATATCTCAAAGTTTTGGTAAAATGTTGAAGAATAAATCCAGAGATCAACACCAATAATAATAATAATAATCATCACAGAGGCACTGATGGAAATTATAGAGGCTTGGTGTCACTTGATCCGTACTGAACAGACATTATTGTTTTAAAACTCAATGCCTTTTACTGATGAAGAAATTAGTGATGATTATATTACTACTGCTACTAATATTACTAGTACTTGTGGGAATATAATATATTCAATATATGCTTCATTTTTATAAAAGTCGAGTGAATCGAAGCTGAATAGTCGATGGTCAGGAATAAAAGCAACTTTACTGAGAGTCTAGAGATAATAAATCATTTCAAGTCTTAATTTCATTTTACTTTTTGCTTTAAACAATTACTTATTATGTCAACAATAATTACTAATTATTATCGTAAAAGTCGTGTGATTAGAAGTTGAATTGTTGATGGTCATGAATGAAAGCAACATTATTGCGGGTCAAGGGTCAATAGATAATTTGATGTTCAAATTTAATTTGAATTTCAACAAGGTTAGATTTGCTTGAAAGGAAATTTTAATATTGAAACAATTTTGCTTTCATGTCAACAACAGTAAGAAAAATAAAAAAGAAGTCGCAAATTGTGTCGGTCTTAATTTACAAGAGATAATGACAGAGTGAGAGAGAGAGAGAGAGAGAGAGATAATGACAGAGTGAGAGAGAGAGAGATAATGACAGGCTTGTATATCTATCTATCTATCTATCTGTGCGTGTGTGTTTATGTATATACACTCTGCATAATTATCTCATTTGTTTTCGGTTTTAGCTTAACAAGTTAATGAAATATTTATTGCATGTAACTGTTAATGAGAGAATGCGGCAGAGAGAGAGACAGAGACAAAGAGACAGAAGGAAAGAGAAAGAGAAAGAGAAAGAGACACACACACAGACAAAGAGACAGAAGCAAAGAGAAAGAGAAAGAGAAAGAGAGAGGTTTGCAGACATACAGCCGGGTAGATACATATGGCGCTGCCACATATTACTGGCATAGAAACATTTTTACTGCTCCACTGATTACAATTTTGTATACCTGACATTGTATGTCTTCTGACCTATTTCTCTAGAGAAAAGAAATTAATCAGAAGACATGTTTGGTGGAAAATTTATGTTAAAAGTAGATTGTCTTTATCGAGATCTAATATGTATATATATATATATATATATATATATATATATATATATATATATATATTTATACTGAACTGTAAAGGGGGTTCCAATAAGTTGGACCGATTTTAATGTGAATTAAGTTTAAGCATCTAATGACATTTGGTCGATATTATTATTCACACAGAATTGCCATGGCTTAAATAACATGATATGGAAATAGATAAAAATAAATAAAGTCTCACCAATAACACTAATTTATTTACTGCTGACTTTGTTCCGTCTTAAGGAAACACCCTCTTATATAATCCGTCTTAATGAAAAAATATTTATTTCAAAATTATGAGAATAAAGTTTTATGCAATAGGAATTTCTCCAATCCTAAGAATTTATTTTATGTATTGAAGTCAATATTGAATGAAAAGTAAATAAATTTAAGTCATTTATTTGATAAAGAATCCAATTGTTCCAGGGATAAAATCAATTTACATAGACAGACTAGTATAGAGAAGATGGACAGATATTCAGACTGATAGATAGATAGATAGATAGATAGATAGATAGATAGATAGATAGATAGATAGATAGATAGATATACAAGGATGATAGACAGACTGATAGAGAGACCGACAGGCAGACAGGTTGATAAAAAACTGACAGACAAATCAGTTGATAGACAGATATACATACAGATATACAGAAGACGTACTTGGTATTTTTCTGATAAGATCCACGTCCATTGCCCTTACCTTTGTACATGTCATATCTTCAGACACAGAATCACTTCGGAGCTGCTTTTCTCATTCATTCACACCAACAACAGTTTCTCATCATCTTCTTGGGTTTTTGGATGATGCTTTATTAATTATGAGGCATTGTGGAGTAATGGATAGCGGCTCGGACTGAGGAATCAGAGAGCCGAGTTCGAATTCCAATCGAATTCATTACATTCACTTACGTGTAATACACTTGGGAAATGTAGGAATCCTCTACTTCTATGGGTAAATATGTGGAAAAATCGGGTTCTATAGCCTTGGATGGCAACTGGCCTACCGCAGAAAGAAATGGAAACCTACTGCAGGAAAGACATTTTATTTCATACATTATGTTTAATTGTGGTACGTACAAGATATGAAGAAACTTTATAATGTAGACAAATTAAAAGCCTGTATAAATTGGCACAACCATTTTCTCTAGATGCGTTTAATATTACACTTAT